ATAATTTGTATTCATACGCAGCGGATTATACTATATTAAACATTGGTCTAAAACCAATCTAACACTTGTCCAATCTAATCGTCTATGCTTTGGTCAGTTCACTGAACTACCTTCCAGATTATATAGATCGATCCTTACATGGTACAAGTCATACAAGTCCAAGGTTACATTCCCCTAAACCATTCTAGCTAGATTTAAAAGAAAGTAGCTAGATCAAACCTTTGCCACATCCACAGAGCTTGTTAGCTCATCGGTCCAGCTGACTTAATTAGCTCATCCTCCTAGCTGACTTTGCTACCTCACCTCCTACCTGATATAGCTACCTCATCCAGCTCCATGAGCTGAATCACCTCAGCTTGCTAAAAACGAGCTAAGGCCAACTGCCTCAGCTTGTTTAGCTAGCTCATCCAGCTAGCTAAGCTGAACCCCTTCACCTGAGGTTTCATCTACAATTGCTTCCAGCTGACCAAGCTGCAGGACAGCTGCGCCAAACTCCCTACCATCCCGTCCAACTCTCTTATACCTGCATAAACATCTCCCCTTGGATACTTAGTCATTCAACCAACATTCCCCACTGACCAAGTAACCTTTGGGAAGTCTTCAACAGCAATGGTAATGCATCTAGCTCCTCTCAGCTAATGCATCACCCATCTCCTCACGCTTGTAGCATAAGATAGCAAGTCCCTCTCCTGGACTAACCTTTGCATCCTTTTATCAAACATAGCAGACACCTTGATCCATCATCCATGGATCAGGTCGTCCCCCTTTACTCATGATCATATCACACACAGCCTTCCCTGCATAATAACAACCAGATCCATACTTGTGGTCCACGCCACCCAGTACCAGGCTTACCCTCAGGTACCATTATGAAAACAAGAAAACATGTTCTAATACCACACAAGAACAATAATTACATATTAATCCGATAACCTAGCACAGGTTTTAACAATTGCATGATTCCGATCCTAAGGCTATGTTCCTGCCCAATTTTGGGCAAACTCAAAAGTGCTCCAAAAATTAATGTTAAGCTTTGTAACTTACCCAAAAAATATAATAACACGAATCCAAGGTCAGAATTCACAGGAAAAATCACTAACCCTATGATCCGACCCAAAACAGCCCTAGGCCTAAATATGGTTTTTGAGCAAATCAACTCCAATAATTCTTAAATATCCTAAAACATCTATCCTAAATTTTTTAAGCCATTTGATTCAGTAAAATGTGGTTTGGGATCAGTAAACCTAAATCTGGCCTAAAATAGTCCCATTGAACCGGCACGTATGTACGGTTCATGGGAAGGCCTTTCTGATCACCCAACTTGCATAGAATTATAAGGAGAGAAATATATTTAGATAGAGAAAGAGAAACGAGTGTATCCAGAGTTCCCAGAGACCATAAACCACATGGATTCACTCATGGGTTCATGCCTTTGGGTTAAATGCTTCAACACCACTAACCTTAGATCTTGTGCCTTCCAGCATCATGTCCGACCATGATACTCCAAAGCATCCCTCCATCAAGTCTTATCACATACCTCCTGTATTGATACGATCTCTTCCTGGGTCGCACCAATGGTTCCTTCCATTGATCTCCCATAAAAACCGGTTCTGCAGTGACTTCACCTTCAAGGCTGTTCTTGTAAATGAGAAAGGATTGGCCTTCTCTCTTCTCCCCTGAATCTTTTCGTGTTTTTCCAAGATGAAGAGGAAGCCTAAGATTTGATCATCCATGATTAAACTCCATAAGAGGGTCTGTAAGACCCGATACTGGTCCATTGAACCCCAACCAGATCAGTGTCTTAACCTATAAAATTTATATGTTTGATTCCGGTTTTAAGCCTTTATTTAACTAAGTCATTTTAACAAAACTGAGGTTCATACAATCAGAGTTATAAAACAAATAAGATAAGGGCAATCATATTGTATAAATATAAATCAGAGTGATACAAAGTATTCATGTGATTCAGTTTGCACAATAGGCTAACATAAGTTCAGTATTACATGAAACTACCCCATAACCAACACACATCGATTCCAGCCTGAGTCTTCACAGCACCTTGGCCTTGCCACGGTCCTTATAATTACCTGAAACCACACAAGCAAAATCACATATAATCATAAAGTCCGATAACCTAGTACACAAGGCTAATACAATTGCATGGTGGCCTAAAGCTATGTTCCTGTCCAATTTTGGCCAAACTCAAAAGTGGTCTAAAACTTATAAAAAAACTATGATGATTCATGAAAAATCCCAACTAAGACAATGGTCAAGTCAGATTCCTCATAACCGGTCTCGGTCATACCGATCTCGACCCTGACCAGCCAAACCGGCCCAAAAATAATAAAAATGGAATTCGACCTAGACAACTCCAAATTGTGCCTAGTCTTTTCCAATAATTCTTAAATACTCTAAAACATCTATCCTCAAAGTTTCAAGCCATTTGATTGAATAAAAAGTGGTTTGGGACCAGAAAACCCAAATCTGGCCTGAGCAGTCCTATGGAACCAGCCTTAAGCTTGGTCCATGGGAAGGCCCTTCTGATCATCAAAATTCCATAGAATCATCAGGAGAGGAATATATATAAGTAGACAAATAGGAATATGCGTAACCAGAGTCTCCAGAGACCATAAACCACATGTTTTCACACCAAGAGTTCATGCCTTTGGTATAACCGATCCACACCACTAACCTTAGAGGAGCGATCCTTCTGCCCACGTTCCTGATCCTTCTCCTTCTCTTTCTGTTTGTCCTTCTCCTTCTGTCTGGTATCCATCTTCACTGGAATTGATTCCCACGAACACACACACCAGAAAACACCCAACCTTCACACAGTTCTTCACCAAACTTGGTGTTTCTCTCTTTCTTTGTCTCTGGATTTTGGCAGAGTTTTTCCTAAATGTTTCTGATGATTAATCACGTCCAGAGGCTTATATTTATAGGAGAAGGGTCTGCAAAGTCCCCAGGGGCGAGCATGCATGACTTGTTTGAGGGATAAGGCACAAACTGCCCATTTGCACCTTTTCACATGCCACCAGTCCCAACTGTCCTTTTTGAGCGTGTGGGCCTTGAAACACAGGCCCAGGACGTCCTTCTGAGTCCCCAGCCCACTTGCCAAGACCCACCAGGCCCAACTCCCATCAGAGCTCCAGCCCGGCCCAGCCACAGTCCCACCTCGGCCCAGCCGGCCAAAACTCCAACACTCCACTTAGCTGAGTTGAGCTGATTGGCAGCTGGCCCAGCTGAGTGAGCTAGTCCACCAGCTCCTGGGAGCTGACCTACACTGACTGAGCTGCCTCTGAGCTTCCCCCAGCTGCCTGAGCTTCTTCTAAGCTGTACGCGGCCTCGTCCAGCTACCATAACACTTGTCCAACTCCCTAATGCTTGTTTCCTTCTTGTTTTGGTTAAGTTTCAGCTTCCTGAACCCCTTAACCATGTCTTTAGGCCATGATACGCTTGTCCTTAGGTCATATGACCTGACTGATGCATCTCCCCGCACCATGGCCCGTCCCGACGATCCTATCTAGGATCGGGGACATGACAGGGTCGTCCCAACTCCCCTCTTGATTAACCACAAAATTGCCTTTCCACACACATGCACCCTTAAGGCTATCTTGGTCTTGGGAAGTGGAATCCGGTCATCCTTCTTCTCCCCTGACCATCTGCGTGTGTTCTCAGACTCTGTAGGATTCTTTGGGGTCTAAACAACATGGATTTAAACTCATCAATGGGTCGTTCATAACTTCCCATTTGACCATCCCCAAAACTGCCTCTTTATGTTCTTCCTACCTCTCCTTGTATTTGATTGATGAATCCGACCATGTCTCTGTATTTTTCCTTGATTCCATGATGTAAAATGAAGCCATGTAATGCCTCTGAGATTCTCTCCAGTCGGCCTTGCCTTTCCTAAAACGATCCTCGTCTTCTTGTTGCCTAATCTCCACCATATCCACCTTTAAAACAGATTTATGTCTCTCCTTTGTTCTCTTTGACCCATGGATGTTTTCTCTATTTTTCTTATGAATAATCATGGTTAGTTTCGTGCCCAGGGTCCTGGTTATAAAGAAGGAGTGGGTAACTTCCCAGAACCGGAGGGACACCATTTGGTGGGCAAAAGGGTGTGTTTGGTCCATTCGCACCCCTGGGGTAAAATTGTCGCCCCTTGGGCATTTCTTGGGCCAAAACCCACTCTTTAGGGTCTCCTGGAAATGCCCCACTAGGTCATTCCGTGGTGGTCCAGACAGATTGGGCCTAGGGTCCATACCTGACCCTTACCCAGCCCGTACCCGACCCTAATTTGGTCCACTGTCCCAAGACCCGAACACTCCATCCAGCTGAGATGAGCTGATCCCTAGCTGACCCAGCTGAGTGAGCTAATCCACCGGCTCCAGTGAGCTGACACACTCTACTTGAGCTCCAACTGAGCTTCGACCAGCTGGTTGAGCTTCTTGCTCGCATCACCCAGCTGTGATACACTTCGTACAGCTTGATATCTTCATCTTATTCTCTGCCTATGTCCTTTGGTCCATTCCTTGACCTTGACTGAGGTTTTCCATGATCTATTCTGATCATTCACTTCATTACAGATTGTTCACGATCAATTCCCCTGATCTGGATCAAACGATTCTCGGTGCTATTGAACGTTTAGTCCTTATGTCAAGTTCTAGGAACGAGAACATGACAGTTCAGCTGGTGTGAGCTGACCAATGAGTGTGTAGCTAGACCAGGCTGGGCTGAGCTTTCCTGAGCTCCCCTGAGCTAGGTCGAGCTGTCCCTACACCTTGTCCAGCTACCCTTTTACTCGTGTAGCTCCTCTTACTCCTCTTAACCATGTTTCTGAACCATGATATGATTGTCTTTAGGTCATACAACCTGACTGGTGTGTCTCCTCGCGCCATGGTCCATCCCAGTGATCCTATCCAGGATCGGGGACATAACAAAAACAGATTGCATAACCTCATGACGATACTAGCAAACATGTGAAGTCAATCAGAGACCTTTTACATGAAAAGGTTGGGGCTGGATGCCTTGTAAGTGGTCTTGAGCTTCCTTCTTGGTGGTCTAACCTTACGGAACACCAAGGGGAACTTGATTTTACTGTTGTGAAAATGTATTGTACTCTCCCTCTTGCAGAGTTTGGCTGGAACAGTTGCTGTCTTAATGATCTAAATGCAAGGGAACCTGACACGGTGTCGGGATGCCACCTCAGTGTACATCTGCTCAACAGCTCCGTTCAAGGTAGTGTCACGGAACTCCTTGTACATGTTGTGGTATCCGGTTCTGCTCTGGTACCTCAATCAGATTCCAAAGTTCTTGATGGTGGTCGGATTCTTCTCAAAGATCTGCAAAGCAGTTATGAAAATTATATTACATCAGCAAACAAGAAAACAGTAAACAAAAACCCACGACAGAACCAGAGTTTTTTATCAAACACTCATGTTCTAATTATGTAAATGAAATTACAAGTTACTCGATTAACCACATTTCTTAACACACACAACATATTGAACAGAGATTATAATTAAGTATTATATCAACAATGAGGAGGTAATGAACAACAAACAATACAAACGAAAGACTAAACATGAGTATTTCTTAAGACACTACTGTACTAATTCAGAAAAGGCAATTACTTGCCAGTCAAATTAATTGATTCACAATGTTTGAATTGTACCTAAAGAATGAACAGTGAGGTAATCATTAAATAAAGAGGAGGTAAGGAACAATAAAAAAAAGAAACACTAGACAGAACATGATTTTGTTTCAAACAAAAATGTTTCCACTTCAGTAAATTCACAGTTACTTTCCGCACAAGTTACTCGATCCATTACATTTCCTAAAACAAGAAAATGTGTCTAACATAACTAAATATTGTCCAGTGAGTTAACATTCCATAGAATGAGAAAGGAGAAAGATTATACCTCGCTGATGGCGAGCATCTGACTATTGCTCTTCTTAAACTTCTTCAGTTTCCTCAAGAAATACCTAATCAAGATTACAAACTTTATAGTTAAGAAATCAACTTTATAATTAAACAAACAAAAGAACAAAAAAAAACAGAAGAGAATACTAACCAGAACTTGGACTTGGCACGAACCTCGTTCGTGGCCCAGAGCTTCATCCTGTAAATCTTGGGTTGCACATCCTTCTCTGTTGGGAGAGCCCTTCCGACAACCTGGTACTGGTGCAACTGCCATGGAAAAAGACAGAAAAAGAGATCAGATTGGCCTAAGCAAGCAACAACGGAGACGTTGAGATAAGGGTGAAAGCGAGAGAGAGAGAGAGCTAACCCTGAAAGCAACCATTTTCGTCTCGAGGGGGGCAGTGCAGAAGAAACCTCAAGCGATGTAAGCGGCTATGAATCTTGCCTTTTTATATACGAGCGTATGCTAAAACCCTAGCTGTAAAATTGAATCATTAAGCCCAATGGGCCGATAGTTGTATAACTTTTATAAAGCCAACTGATTTGCTTATTTCCTTGTTTGCCGTTTTAGTATTTCTCAAGTTGAATATGCTTTTCCGATAGTTTTGTGATTTGTATGAATGTTCAACCCGGATCTCGTTTCGGTGTCGGTTTGTTTTTTTTTGGTTTTTACAACTAGTTTTTTTTTACTTTTTTATTGTTATTGTACAAATATTCAGGAAAGATACGGTAGAAGTAGGACAGTTATTATATGAGGTCTACCTAGTTACCATATTATTTAAATTATCATGGGATGAAAATTATAGAAATTATTTTATATCTTTTTTTTTACTTTGTGTTCTTTTATATATTATAAAATAAATAAATAAATATATATATATATATATTGAATAATTGGAAAATCTGTAACTATTCTATATACAATTAATTTAGCAAGCACTTAAATAAAATAATCATATTTTTTTATTTACAATCATTTTATATCAGTAAATCTAATTAATAAATTATATATTTATTGTACTTTTAATTTGGATATCAATAAATGAAGTTTCACACTTACATGATTTTATGATCATTTGTATATTTTTATAACAAATTTTTTAAAATATTGATAACATCATATTTAATGTGAGAGATTTAATATTTATAATAATTTATCATCGTTTAATTTATCATAATGACACATGGCTACCAAAACATGTTATAATGCTTCTCAAATTAATACTGTATATAGAGGATTTACTATGGTTTAGTTTGGTTTAGATAACAGTTTTGATTTATTCGATTTTATACCAACAATCATAACTATATTTACCTTTTACAATAAGTTTTAGTTTATATTATTAGAAATAAAATTTATTAAAATATAGTATATATTTCATACTCTAATTTTTTAACTAAAATATCTTACTTTTCATTTTTACTATTAAAAATAAAAGAAGGAAAATATTCACATCTACTGAAAATTAGAACATTAATAGAAAATATGTTTTATTTAATTTGATGAAAATGAGAATATTATTTAACTGAAAACAAATAAAAATTTAATGTAATCATTTCTTCAATATGAATATCATATTAATAAAAAAATAATGTATGTAATTTTAATTTTATTATAAAAATTGCATATACGTATACTCATAAATTTTAATTAATCGGTTTATTCAGTTTGATCGGTTCATATACTAAACTATATTCATATAACGCGATTTCTTAAAATAACATCCATTCGGTTTATTCAGAATATTATCAGCAAACTCAGAGTAGTATAGTCAAACATGAATCCTCATAATATATATAGAATTGTCGGATGTACAATCTTCATAATATATGTAGCATAATTAATCAGTCTCTTAAAACAAAAACATAATCCATTCATGTTTATTTTAGTTAAGGGATTGTGTCCCTTTCATAGGGTTTTGGTTCAAGAAAACTTGTTTTTTGTTGGCATTGTCTTTAGAGATATTCACATTTTTGCGGACTTCTTTTTGGACGTATGTAAACCGTTTTCATTTCAATAAATTTTAGCTAACTAAAAATACACAATCCATTTATATTCCTTTGGTGGCGACATTTGGATTGTTGAAAATTTAGCCTATTGGTCGAAGCCACACTAAGCATGGATATTTGATACCCATTCGGATACCGATCTGTTCTTCAAAAATATCAATTTTTGGATTTTGAAAAAGACCCATTCAAGTATTATAAAAAATGGTCAGGTTTCAACTTAAGTTATCCCGAAACTGGATGGGTTTGGTTCTGATGTGTAGGACCCAAAAAGTAATCAGTTATTCATTTAATCTTATGCATATATTTTTAACTGAAGCAACCAAATTATCTGATTCAGTTTGAGTATTTTATATCAAAATTACTCAAACTTATCAAAAATACTCATCAGATAAGGTTTGACTCGGTTATTTTATCCAAAAGTAACCATAGATACGATTTGAATGAGTATTGTATGCAGACCATTCAATTTTATCTTCAAATACCAAATAACTAAATATTTGATTTATAGTTTAATTTTAGGTATTTATATTATTATAAGTCTAGTTACTAATATATATATATGTTCAGATAAATTCGGATATTTCCTGGTCCAGATCTGTTTGGTATCGATTTTTTTGGATTCAGCAATTTAGAACCCGTTCAAGTATTTTGACCAGATTTTATCAGATTCGGAACCTGAGTTTTTTAATCGGTTTTTCGGATGCAGATGTTATGCTCAGCTCTAGAAGCCACAATCGAAATCTATCATATGTACATCTCTGTCAGCAATTATCAAAATCTATCAACCTAAAAACTTAATTGTTTTTAAAAAAGAAACTTAATTGTTTATTTGACTATAGATGCTCCTATTACTTATTTACTTCTCAAGAAAGGATGTTGTTTTCGATTTATTCTTTGAATTTTGTAAACAATGTTTTTTTGTTTTTAATAATTTATCAATTTTGTAAGAACACTTTCTCTTTGAACAAGTTTAGGAATACTTTTCTGAATGCATATGACATCTTCTGAAATTTGAGTTTAGGAAAACAATTCTATATATTATAATATTTTCCGAAATTTTAAGAAGATATTGATAAATATGTATGATATCTTTACAAAAGTTTAAAAAACTTTCATAAATGTGTATTCCATACATTTTTATTTTAAAATACATTTTTAATTGTACATTTAAGATCTTTATAAATATATATTTAGGAATACCTTGCTAAATTAGAATTATAGGTATATTTTGTAACATAGACTTTAATATGTAAACATCTTCCAATAGTTTTCGAAATACTTTCTTGAGTTGATATATAAATTCCATAAAAATAATACACGTATTTAAAGTCTTCTTAATTTTTTTTTGAAATGTATATATTGAGTAATATTTTCTTTAATATACATATAAATTAAATTCATGAAGATGACATACATATTTATGAAGAAATTTATAAATATAGGAGTAACATTCAATAAATTTATTTACATATTTATGAAGACACTTTTGAATTCAGAATTTCTGTACAAATTTAGGAAGATATCATAAAAGTTTAAGAATGTCCTCCTAAACCTTTTTTAGAAAATCGTTTGCAAAAAAGTGATGGGAAAAGATATTATTGAAAAATATGAAAATATTGAAAAAATATTTCTATTTTATTATTTTCTAAATTTTTATTATTTTTATATTTATATTATGAGTAAAACAATTTAAATTATAATTGAGAATAAGATTTTCATCTAACTCTTCAATGAAATTAATCTTGGTCAATTTGATTTTTAGAAATTATTTAGGGAACAAAAATAACAATGACTATAAACTAAAAAGGTTACAAATTTCATAATATGAAACTTTATTTTGGTTAATTTTTCATAATGTGTTTTCATTTGGTAAATATTTTTTCTTTAAAAAAGTTTCGGAAAACCTTCTTGAAAATCTAAAATATCTTTCTGAATTTGGCAGAGAAAAATTCTGAATTCAGGAATACATTTATAAATGTAAAAATATACTCTTTGAATGTGACTTTTTTGATGAAATGTTAAATTAATTGATCATCATGAAAAAGATGTTTTGCCAATATAAAAACTTCTCTCTCTATCCAATATCACTACAAGAAAACAGCGATATTCCGAGGGCCAATTTCCTCGGAATATCGTCGGAATACATGTATTCCGAGGACATTCCGAGGAAAAAGGTCGTCGGAATTTTTTCGTCGGAAAAAAATATTTCCTCGGAATTTCGTCAGACACACCGACGAAATTCCGAGGACTTCCGATGGACCAACATTCCGACGAAATTACGATGGACCAACTTTCCGACGAACGTTTCNAATATTTCCTCGGAATTTCGTCAGACACACCGACGAAATTCCGAGGACTTCCGATGGACCAACATTCCGACGAAATTACGATGGACCAACTTTCCGACGAACGTTTCCTCGGAATATTCCGACGGCTGCTTCCTCGGGATATTCCGATGGTATTCCGACGGGGGTTGTCATCGGAATATTCCGAGGAAGTGCATCCCTCGGAATATTCCGAGGAAACGTTCCATCGGAATATTCCGAGGAAACATTCCGTCGGAATATTCCGAGGAAACGTTCCGTCGAAATATTCCGAGGAACCGTTCCGTCGGAATATTCCGAGGGATGCTCTTCCTCGGAAATTCCTATTTTAAAAAAAAAATAAAATAAAAAAAAATTAATTGTTTTTAATAAATATTTATATAATAATTAATTGAAAATATAAACTAAAATTGAAATAAAAAAAACATCTGATAATATTTTAAGTTTTAAAAGTAGAATACAAAGTTTTAAAAAACAAATAAAAACCGACTAAAACTCATGCGGGAACAGACGTCGCATCATATCCAACAACTCCTGGTTCTTCTTCTTCGT